AGAGACCAAGGAGCTACAATTCAAACCAGTTAGTCTTGTTCACTGTAACAGCCTTTTTGTAAATAAAAAATAGCAGTAGAAATTTCGCTTCTATTCTAGGGGAAAAAGTCTAGACTATTTACTATAGCAACTATGTAAACACAACTAATGAACTGAAAATGTTCATTCATGAAAATGTCCTAGTAGTAAATTTCCATATGTTTAATTGAATGGTACTTAGTGTATAAGTGTTTGAAAATGGCAGGCAATATACCTTAATAGTTGTCAAAGTGTTATAAAAAATGCCCTACATAGAGCACAGTGAATCACTTACAAGTTAGATAAAAAGGCATAATTGCGGATGTATGACTTAGTTCGCTGAAATGATCTTATAACAATACTGATGCTCATAAAATGGTGGCCTCACTCTGTAATTACTTTGAAGACACTGAGGCTCCCTTTTTATTCATTTATTTTTTGAATCTTCAATAACATGTACAGCAATTAGCTGTCTTCACCCTAATAAAGGTCATTAAGCATCTTAAAATAGTAAGATGCTGGATAGCACACATCTTAAAATAGTGTGACTGGATAGTTTTGCCATGTTATGTGCCTTAATTTGGATCAGAGAAGGGGTGGGGGTTGGGGGGAGAATGGAAGAGAAGAGAGGAAAAGAGAAGGGGAGATTTTTTTTTAGTAAAAGAGAATAAATAATATTTGTAGTTCCAACCAGTACTCCTCTTAGAGAACCTGCAAGGAGGATTAGAGGATTCACCACCTGCTGTGGTTGACAGATTATTGGCATTGTACAAAAAACTAATCCTGACAACCTTATGAATTTAACAAAAGAGAATCAACACAATAAAGTTTGAAAAATGGGAATTTAAACTTGTATTCTAAGCCAAATACAGTTTGCAGACAAAGAAAGACTTAAAAGCTTTCAGAAATTTGGGGATTTTCCTCTCCTTTTACTGATTTTTGTTGTTGCCAAGGCATGGTGTGTCCTGGCCAACACTGTAGCTAATATTTAACAGTGACCCACATGTAATCATAAATATTCCATTGGAATTGGTATCCCTAGGCAACATATTGTCTTTCAGTAGTCTTAAATCTATTGTTTATTTGTAAATAATTCAGCTAATTAACTCATAAATAAATCACCAGCCATGACAGTAGTTTAATAATGAAAATAAATTTTAAATACTGTTGTAACTTTCAACAGAATAAGATACAATTAGTGGAGTAAGAAAAGGTGTCCAAATTAAGGGGAATTTAAAACATCTGCTCTTACAAGAAAAATCAACTTGTGGGATTATTCCTCTCACTTCATTTCAAAAGGTACTTTTTGAATTTTGAGTAATCGCCTCCCCTCTCATTAATCTTTAATTATTTTGCTTAAGGAAATTTTTGCTTAAGAAAACTATACTCAGCATCTAAGATTATCGATTACATGCTCCGTTAGATGAGGCGGACTCAGACGTGCTGCCTTAAAGTAGTAAGGCTCACATCAAATAAAGTGGGTGAGGCGGACAGAAAAGTCCAGAGTACTTCCCCTTTCTCTCTCCTTTTCCTCTAGAGAAAGGGAAAATATCCTAAATAAGTTAGCTTCTGTATGGACTGTAACAAGAGTTATAAGAGCCCCCAATAAAATGATCTAAAAAAATAAGTTCTCTTCATTGCCTACTTCGTAAATTTGCTGGGGTCAATGTAAAACTGGGAAGTAGTCCAGATTTATCACCCTGACCCACAAAGTCCCTTCACCACATCTTCTTGGTGCCTTCCTTTTCCCCGGGTCCTCCTTCGCTTTCTCATTTTATTGTGATTTTTTTACTGTGAGGTGAGTAAAGGTTACAGAACACATCATCAATTTTTACCAGCTTCCCCTCTTGCTCAGACTCCCTCTGGCCAACATTCCACTCCTCCCACCAACCCACAGAGCCCACTTCAACACCTAATTCTCTGCCCCCACGTTATGACTTAGTAATTATCTCTTAGCATAAATTAAGAATTATTTCTTCAAAATGCAAGTTGAGCCAAATTCTCATTTTGGAATGAAAAGTTTTCCCTCTATTAAGTAACTTTGAATACCATTAAGCATCTTAGAATTCCTGGGAAGGAAATTGAACAAAGAAATCTCCAAACGGCACAAGTGACTGCTTTTCTGACTTGGTCGAAATACGGCTTTGCTCCAATTCCAACACATGGTTGGAATATGCTTTGTATTTACCCCCATTTAAAAGAACTGCTCACCCTAAATTGTATTATTGCCGTTAGGTGTCATGGAGTCAATTTCAACTCACAGCAGTCCCACGCACGGAGTAAAACTGCCCTATCAGACTTGCCAGACGAATCCTGTGGAAGCAGACCGCCAGCCTTTCTGCCAGAAGCATGGAGGCGGATTCTAACTGCACACTTTGTGTCATCAGCCCAGTGCTTAATCGGGGCACCACCAGGGCTTCAACACCACGCGATCCATAATAATGCCTGACACACAGTGGATTCACAAGCTTCACTTTTCCCTAATAAAATGATATTTATACTTGGTGTCTAAGAAATCTATTAATAACAAGCGATGAGGAGCACCTTCAAGTACAAATCATTTGAATCTTCTGCATAAGAACAAAAAAAAGTCCTCATTTCTAAAGGGGTAAAATGTAGAATCTGGGAACTAAAGATCAGCTGTATTCTCATCCCTAGCAGAATCCTAGACTAAACTGCTAACCATGATTTTTGAGCACTTAGAATATAAAATGTTGGTCTATATAACAAATGAGAGCTCGCTACAAAGAAGCCCACTTGATCTCCAGTTAACCTATTTGAGAAAAGAGCTTTCAAGTCTCGTGTTGGCAGCTTCTTATATCTTCTTAAACAAGATGAAGGCATGTGTTCAGTAACTATAAACCTAGCTAAACAAATGTACCTCCTGAGTTTCAGTAGCTCAATCGACACTGACCCAGTATCTAAGGCTATCACTCCAAAACTGCATGTTTTGCTTTGTGTGGTTCCCCAATTTCTGTCAGTGACCAAATAAGACCATAGGTGACACATCTTTCAAATCCATACATGAAAGAAAACAGGTGGAAAATAACATTTACAGGGAAGATTTTAAAAGAAGAATAGATGTGAAGAGTTGGAAATGAATGAAACAGAATGACGTAGCTTTTCAAGGTCACTCTTCCACTCATATCCTTCTGGATAGGAGCGAATCTCAGCCTGCTGGAACTGCCAGCTCTTTATCTGCAAAGGAGGTAGAGGACATTGGAACAGCCTCATTCACGAGGTTCTTGTTTCATTCAAATAAGAGAACAACAATAAAACCCTTTGGGCGCTACAGAGTGCAGGCTCAAACACTGCTCAAGATGTACCAGAGAGCGCAGCAGGACTGTCAAGGGGATTGGAGAAAAGTCCATCCCTGAATACAGAGGGAGGGAAGGTCCCATGAGAGACAGATAGGACGCTTCGTGGATAAAGTGGCAATTAAACTCAACAGAAGCACTTTCACTTACTTAAATAGTGGCACGGTTGCCTTCCTTGCTATCCAGTCGATTCTATATTGTGGCAACACCTTTCGCGACAGAGCAATGCTGCTCCATACGGGGTTCTTGGCTGTCGTCTGAACAAACACCAACCACCAGCTCTGTCCTTTCAAGGTCCTTGGGTGGGGCTTACACCCATCTTCAGGTGAGCAGTCCCATGAGCACGAGCAGCTCGTACATAAAGAGCCACCTCTGGGGTGGCATCAACGTGCAGCGGAGAATTCTGTGTGCTTCTTGGACTCGCTGCCTTAAAGGAACGCCTCTAAATAAGATGAAACGCTGCCGCAGGGAAGGAAGGCACCCCTGGTGGTGGTAAAGGAATCCCAACGTGACGTAACTCGAACACGTTCTCAGTAACACGAAATCCTGGAATCCTGAAATTCGTGATGGCAGGTTATGATCATCATCTTCAGATAAGCTCGTTCACCGCATGGAGGCGGAATTAGACTGTGCCTATGTAACTTCAGGGTCCAGATGACTAAAATGTATGCAAATGTTTAGAGGGTCGGAGGCGGGTTTGTCATAAAGTTCTTCCCAGTAATTAGAGCTGGCTATAAAGAGACACTTCATTTACAAATGACTTGAATCTTCTGTGCATCTCCCGTGTGCTTCTCCCTACTGCTCAAGGGGCCCCAGGAAGGCCTGTGTTACCACAACTGCCCCAAACTCATCATCTTCATAGGCAATGGAAAGAAGAGGGAATCTGTGCTAACAAAAGGCTCCCGCCCTCACACCACAAACTGCCTTTGTTTTCTGCCACAAATAGGAAAGCACTCATATTCCAGCAGAATTAACCTATTTGGTTAGGCTGCCATGTGTTTTTTCCGCAACAAATTGCTTTAACATTGGTTCCTAAATAAAGACATTGCTGCTGGTATTTTTTAGTCCAGCTTCAGCGGCTGGCTATCTGAAGAACAGAGTTTTCCAAGTGTGAAAGAGAACTAGGATTGACCAGGAATTTTTTATTCTGGTAATATATCAACTCTGCTAAGTCCTCACAGTTGAGGTATGTTCTTTGAAACTACTAAATTTCTATAGGCATTTTCTCCCGAAAAAAATATGAATATGTATTTTAAGTGTATGTCCAATTCAGGGTGTTCCTGGAATTTCTAAAACTGACAGGTCGTCTTTAGATAATACATGAATATCAAATTGGTACTGGAGCATATTCCGCACATAACTTAGTAGTTCTCACTTCTATGACTTTATTTTAATTAATTAATTAATGCTTTCTAGGTTAACACCATTAGAGAATTTTTTTTATATTCACAATGAGTTTGTTTCTTTTGGGAACTAAGTTATCTAATAACAATTACCATAATAAAATTTTCCTTCACAGCATATTTAATACCAATTTCTTCATTAAAAAGAAATAACGGTGTCTTTCCCGGTCCCCGCCGAGCTGTGCGGAGGCGGAGGTTCTAGTGTATTCAAGATTCGGTCCTGCCCGTAACCCACCGCCACGGCCGAGGAAGGCACGCTGCTGGGGGCGTCATGGACGTTCACACTGCTTTACAAGAGGGGCTGAAGACCGCCCTCGTCCACGATGGCCCAGCACGTGGAAATGTTGACGCTGCCAAAGCCTTAGAGCAGCGTCATCTTTGTGTGCTTGCATCCACCTGTGATGAGCCTGTGGATGTCCAGTGGGTGGATGCCCTGTGTGCCAGACACCACGTCGACCGCATCCAGGTGGATGACCGCCAGAAGCTAGGCGAGTGGGCAGGCCTCTGCACAACTGACAGAGCAGGAAAACCCCGGAAAGGGGTTGGTTGCAGTTGTGCGGTTGTGAAGGATTATGGCAAAGAATCTCAAGCCAAGGATGTTACTGAAGAATACTTTAAATGCCAAAAAAAAAGAGCAAATAAAACTTTGCTAATTGTTTTAAAAGAAGAAGAAGAAAGAAAAAAAAGAAGGAAAAAGTGGCCATCCAGTTGATTCCAGCTCATAGCAACATTATACAAGGTTTCCAAATGGTTATCTTTGACTTATCTCTCATCTCTCTTTGGCAGGGAGGCTGGTGGGTTTGAACCACCAATCTTGCAGTGAGTAGCCCAGTGATTCTCACCCAGCATCCGCAGCTCTTCTTGGTTTGTTAAGGAGTACTACATCAACAAGAGGCCTGGTGGCAGAGTGGCTTATGTGAGGGGCTGCCCAATGCAAGGACACCAGTTGGAAATGACCAGCAGCTCCACCGGACAGAGATGAGATGTTCTACTCCCAGGAAGATTTACAGGCTCAGAAGCCCACAGACGCCGTGCTCCTCTCTCCTATCGGATTGCTAGGAGTCGGCATTGACTCAGTGGCAGTGGGTTTGGTTTGAGTTTCCTGCATAACCACTTGGCTACTTCTCTCTGGAATTTTGCACACCCCGATCATATTGTCCTCCACTAGATTATGTTCCTTATCACAATAACAACATTCTCAGTTTCTCAGATGCAAGATCTTTGGCCTTATGTTACTCCTGATCAAACGTCTGATACATCAAAATCACCTAAGTATTTAATGAACAAATAATTTTGAATGAATGGCAGGTTTTTAAGCACTTCTGTTAGGGGTTATTTAGTCAGTACAACACTCCCAGGTTGCACTGTCCTCACGATGGTGGTTTTGTTTGAACCCATCATTGCAGCCACTGTGTCCATCCATCTCGTGGAAGATCTCTTTTTCACGGACCCTCTACTTTACCAGCCATTTGGTCCTTTGCCAGGGACTGGTCTCTGCTGATAACGTGTACAAAGTACATGAGGCAGGCTTGCTTCTCAGGAGCATTTTGGCTGTATTGCCACCTCGACAGATTTGGTTGTTCTTCTGGTGGTCCATGGTACTTCAGTATGCTTGACCAACACCATAATTCAGATGCATCAATTCTATAGACCTCCTTCACTATACAACCCTCACACACACACGAGTTGATAGAAAATATTGTCTTGCATCAGGTGCACCTTAGTCCTCAAAATCATATCTATGTTTTTCAGCACTTTAAATAGCTCTTGTGAAGCACTTTCCCAATACAGAACATCATTTGAATTCTTGATTGCTGCGGCTTGATTTCAGACTTGATTGTGGATTCGAGCAAAGTTAAATCCTTGACAACTTCAATCCTTTCTCCTCTTATCACGATGTTTACTTGTTCCGTTGGGAGCATTTTAGCTCTCTTTCCATACTGAAGGCTGCATTCTTTGATCGTCATCAGCAAGCGTTTCAAGGCTTCCTCACTTTCAGCAAGCAAGGTTGTATCATCTGCACATCAAAGGTTGTTAATAAACTTTCCACCAATCTCAATGCCATGTTTGTCATATACTCCAGTTTCTTGAGATGTTTTCTCAGCCTACAGATTGAATAAGTATGGTGAACGGATTTAACCCTGACCCACACCTTTCGTGAGTTTAAACCATGTTGTATCCTCTTATTCTGTTTCAACAACTGTCTCTTGGTCTATGAACAGGTTCATGCACACAATGAAGTGTTATAGAATTCCCTTTCTTCCCAAGGCTATCCATAGTTAGTTATGATCCTCACATAGTTGAATGACTTTGTATAGTCAATAAAACACAAGTAAACAAAAACAAATAAATAACAATAATAAAGCACAAGTAAGCATCGTTCTGGTCCTCTCTGTTCAGCCTTACACATCTGCTGTAAGCAATGATCTCCCTGTACCACATCCTCTTCTAGTCCACATCTGAATTCACTCATCGTTTTGGGAAAGGGCCCTAAAATTAGACATGTTTCAGACTCTATTGTTTTTAAATACAACCAAGTTAATCCAATGTACAGCAATCATATGTGCTGTAAGAAGAAAACGCTTTCCAATCCATACCCTCCTCACAGTGTGCATTGTGCTTGAGTTGCAACCACCGTGCAATCTAACTCACTGAGGGTCTGCCTCCCTTTCACTACTTTACCGCGCAGCGTGTTCTTCTCCAGGAACTCGTCCCTTCTGAGACCATGGCCAAAATTCTGAGCTTGAAGGCCAATCTCCTCCTGTCTAAGAATATTCTGGCTGTACTTATATTTCTTCTATGAAAAGTTGTTCATTCTTCTGGCAAACTCTACAAAACCTGAATTTCCCTTGCATGCCAGCTATTGAAAATATTTTTTTTTTAATAAATAAAATGGCAATACACCCACCTTCCACTTTGATGCTATTCACTTTTGCTTCCAATGCCACTACAAAATCAAAATCAGAGCTACTGCTGTTGAGAGCATTTCCACTCATAAGGGCCCTACAGGGCAGTGAGGCTGCGATTGTTATGGAAGTAGACTGTCGCATCTTTCTCTCACAGAGCACCTGGTGATTTTGAACCACTGACTTTCTGAGTATCAGTCAACCATTTCCCCTCAGGGCTACTCTAATGCCACCATATCCACATGTGAAGACTTCATGATAAATAAATTATGACCTAAGTAAGAATTATAAGAGTCTGGTGATGTGGGCAACATAACCAGGAACCACAATATCCCAGCTGTCTGTCAATTACAAGATACCCTAAGTTCAGGTTACAGAAGAGAACCAAATGTTTGTGTCAGAAAGAATTCATATACAAGTCTGATAACAATTACCTAGTCTTCACAAATATCAAATTAAATACAATGTATCTAAAAGGGGCCATAATACTTTAAGGCTGTAATCTCTTACGCTGTTTTTTGCGGGTTGCTTGTAGTCAATATGATGAATCTGTCACATTCGCTAAGAGGAATCAAGTCACAAATGCAAATTTATATGACTACTGATGTTCCTGATTTACATAAAAAGCTGTGAAGCACATCCAAGATCTCTACTGACTACAAATAGATCAAATGATGAGTTCTTTCAACCATGCACATAATGATTTATGAGTGAGTTTTACAGCTATGTGCTGTATGTCCTTCAGCAACTAGGTTATTTGAATTGAATATTCAATATAATACAGTATGTGACAGACTATGCAAATTATTTGCACAAGCTATGGTAGGTAATTTTGGCCATGAAATTTGATGACAATGTTAATCAGGAAAATGACCTGCCCTTCTTGAAAAATGATGGAAATTTATTTGGTATTACCAGATGGCAGTCTCCGTTTTCTACATTTTTCTCTTGAGGATTAAAATATGTTTTTCAAGAGTTCATCATTCTCCTCTGTGAGATATCTGTTTTATCTTCATTATCAGTACACTAGGTTGAAGCGAGTGTCAGCCAATCCAAACATTAATAAATTCACCACCTAACCGATTGTGCTAAAGTAGAACCCGTGTGGCTGGATTCTCGTTCATTGTGTTCCTGTCACATGACTTCTTAATCAGAAAAGATGGGCCTCGATTAATTCATCAGAAAAGGTGTAGGAGGGTAAGTCAAAGAGTAATGATTCAAAACCATAGAAATTCTTTTCAAACAAACATTAAAATGTGAAGGTATTGTTTCTTGATGTCTTCGATCTATAGCTGCACTACATCTGACAGTGGCGTGTCCATTCCCTCAAACGCTTCCCAGAATTCTTCTATTTATATCACTTCAAAATGATACTTTTGGCATCCTTACATTGTATTTCTCTGAAATAGTCTTTAAGTTTGGGGAAGAAGAAGTCTGAAGAGGCTGAAGGGTGGATGGTGTAATGTTGTCTGAGGAAATTCTCCTAGGACAGTCCTCGCTGCGCTCTAAGAATAAACAGATGAACTGGTGCGACGGGGGAAGGGCCTCAGTGAGACTTTCCTGGCCTTTTTCTCACCAATGTCGTTTTCAATTTTCTTGAAACCTCGCTGGGAGAAGCCCCCGGAGCATCTTGTACCCTTGCAGCCACCATACTCTTCTGCACTGACATGGCTGCTTGGACCCACAGAGGCCCTCAGAAGCCATGGCTCTGAGTGGCTCTCTTTAAGGAACTCTAACACAAGATCATCTGATAACACTTTGATTCTGTCCATAAAGTTTCCAGTGGCTAATTCCTCAGAAGTAGACAGCCTCCTCTCTCCCTCCCTCCAGAGTTCTTAGTCTAGAAGCTATGTTGACCTGTTCACGTTGGGTGGCCTTTCTGACATTTGAAATACTGGTGACCTAACTTCTAGCAACACAGAAAAACACAAGCCACCACAGTCCAACAAACCGAGAGCTGTGTGGTGGCGTCTCGGGCAGTGTTTGATTACGTTGTACGCTGGGTCACTATGAGTCAGAACAGACTCGATGGCACCTAACAACAGCACAATGTCATACTCAGAATGTTGACATTTCAATACACATCCAATAATTTTATTCATATTTCCAAGTTTAATTGTCCTTTACGTTACTTTCTCCAGTTTTACTTGTACTACTTCACTTAGCTTCACGTCCCTTTAAGGGGCGGGGGTGCGGGGTTGTGAGCCCTATGTGATTGTACCACATGTGCATGTTCGAGTCCTTGCCACCATAGTGAAGATACAGAACAGTGCCGTCAAAGGATCTGTCAGAGGAAACCAGCCTTCAACAACCGAAGGGCCAGAAGGCGCAAATGTATGGTGATAATGGATAAAGATTATAGTAAAGTCATAGAGGATAAGCAGGCTAGGAGAGAGAGTAAAATAAAGGAGTTAGACACATTTTATGGTAGCATGTTCACCTCAGTTCCTTTTGATGGACCACGTGGACCTGGGAGAAGTGAGAGAGAACCTTTACTATCTTGAATCCTTTATAGGTAGCCATAAGACGTACATATTCAGTAGTTACATGTGTCACAAGGTGGGTGGTATCTACATTAAGGGCCCTGAGCTCACAGGTGAGGAAACCTAATTGGGGGAAGGTATGAGAGGGTTTGGGTGACACTCACCGGGAAGAGAGAAAGAATGTCTGCTTCTATAGGGACACAGAATCAACCATGTGCTCACTTTAAGGTGGCATAGCTATTAAG